TTGATCCCAGGACCCTGGGATCACGACCTGAGCCGAAGGCAGATGCTTAACGACTGAGCTACCCAGGCGCCCAAAAGGCCATTGTTTTTAAAAATAATGTTCCAGAAAATGATGCCACTTCTACTGAAAACTCAATGTGCCCTAAGACTCTCCAGGTCCTACCTGCATCTCTCCAAAAACAGATCCATGCCAGGAACCTTAGTCAGTCACCTTTGCTTCCTGTTCGTTTTCTCCATTCATTCTTGTATAAACCCCAGTTTTTATTTCTATCCTTCAAAGATAAAATGTGCTTAATTAATGGTTTTTGAGTAAATTTGGCAAGAATTATCCCATAATAGCTTAAACCACATCTTTATCAAAAGTAGGACCTTATAGGGGCGTGTGGGTGATGCAGTCGGTTAAGCACCTGACTCTTGGTTTGGCTCAGGTCTTGGATCTTGAGGAGCTGTGGGACTGAGCCCCACATTGGGCTCTGTGCTCAGAGTGAAGTCTGCTTGGAATTCTCTTTCCCTCTGCCCCTCCCTCCCGATGTCTCGCTCTAATAAATAAATCTTAAAAAAAGAAAAAAACCCAAAAATAAAAAGGACCTTACATAAACATCAAAGCAGCAAAGTAAACATAAAGAATGGAAAATGTATCTCAACTTCCTTATGGGAAATTAATGGTTTCATTAGTAAATACAATACAGAAAACAGATTTGGAAAATTACAATTGAATGAACAGTACCAAACTTGGGAGTATTCTAAATTCTTCATTCAGTAACAACTTAAGTGAGCAGCAACACAATGACTGCCTCTTATAGTACCTGGCATTACCGACATAGGTTTTTCTGTTTCAAAACCACTCATTTACTTTCTGAGAATAGAGAGCTGGTTAAGAAATGATGTGGCAAGAGATAAAGGGTGGCCTGCTAACACAAGCACCTTTCATGAATTCTCCTCCACTGAGAATGTAAGCTCCAAAGGGGCAGGAATGGTTCTCCTTACTGCCATCACCCTAACGTCTGGAATACCCACCTGGACCACAGTGGGTATCACTGTCTGAAAGTGAATGAATACATGAATTTACTTAAGAAGCCATATTAGCTCTTATAAGAAAACACAAATTCAAACTCTGTGTATTCTGGAAAGAAAACTCCCGAACAGATCAGCAGCAAATTCCTTAGGGTTAGACATGCATTCTATAATCAATCTAAAAATAAAAGTCATGTATGGCAAAGCTAAAAACTGGGAAACATTTAAGATTGCTCTAGCTGATCAGGTATATCACGAGACAACTATCATAAACCCTCCAAGAATGGAAAACACAACCAGTAGAAACTGGCAACATCAAGTATTTGGTAAACAGACTTTACTCTGGAGTCATCAGAATGCTGTAAATTGTAGGATACATTTAAAATCAACAGCTACAAGGAAACTACATGTTTCTGCCTTGTAAGTACTTTTAGGAAATAATAAAATCCTCCTATTTTAGCATGCTTATCTTATATTAGAAGCCTAACACTTTAAAACCTATAAAATCTTACTTAGAGTTCTCTGAATGTTTAATGATAATTAAAAGTGTAATTAAGTATACAATCAAATGTTAAGTGCTCATCTTATCCTATCTATGAATGCATTATCTGAAAAACACTGTGATATAAAAAATCAAATGAAAATCTATTTCTGAAAGTATTCTCATGTATCTAATTTCATTAGTCATGATTAGAAAATACTTGAAAACTGGGAAGTTTTATAGAAATTAGGATCACTGTATCATGAAGCTGACTTAACAATCAGAAATATCTGATGTACCTTATCCCAATTTAGAATAAAAACTCCTTCACTATAGAGTTTCCGAGGACCTAGGTTGTAACCTTCCCTTTCTTCCTAATGTTTTCATAGATCACTGAGTTCAAATAAACAACTCAAATGGGGAAATTTGGATGGCAAGTTTTTTATATAAATAAGAGAAAAGCCAAAATACTTTGGCTCAGGTTTAGTATCAAAACAGCCTATTCTAGGTATTCCTTGGACAACACTCACCTTTTACTTTATTAATCTATCATTCTTTTCCCCTTGGGGATTAAGGTTAACTCAAGACCCAACTTTGATCCTCTATCGGTTCCTAAAGAAGGTATAAAATAAGAGAAAATAAAGGACCTTAAAGGAAAATGAAACACAGAAAAACTGAGTGCCTAGAATTAGGTCATTCAGTGTACTTCTTTGACCTTATTTTAGGTTCTGGTTTACCCTCTCTGTTAAAATAAACTTTTCCAATCTGACTGGTATCTTCCTGTGCTCTGGTCTCTCTCTATTCTGATGTCTTTCTAATGCAATTGCGTGAAATGATTTTCCCAACTGCTCCCCTCTGGATCATGTCATGCTATAGGCATTTCTGCCAGCCACTCTCCTGGAAAACCCTGGTCTGCTAGGACATGCTGAGATCTCCATCTCGAAATCTCTATCCTCTTTGCTCTTCGAGCATTTATAGCACACATTTGCAAATTAAAAATGAATGCTATCTGTGCCCAAACAGCCTGTCCTGTATTATAAACTTTAAAATACTCAGTATCCACCTTTTAACATGTACAATTTGGGTTTCCTTGAATTTTAGAAGAAGAGGATACTAATGCCAAAGAGTCAAGTTTGACTGGCTCAGTGAGCTGGCACATTTCTTTACTGGCCACTCCCCAGTTTGCCTTGACTTAAAATAAAAATAGAGTAAACCTTCTCTTTCTGGTAATGGAGGAAATAAAAATGGAAACAACAAAGAAACAAAACAAAAATCATAACTAACACAAAACAAAAAAGGAAAAAGAAAACCCCAACCTTTTGTTCTTAGCAGTTGTACCAAAATTATAATGGGTTGTTTTCCTTAGCTTTGGTAAAAAAATTTCATTATTTGCCAAACAGATGAGGTAAACAGGGTGACTGTGGTCAAGATGATGGCCAATCTCACCAAAATATTTTTATCAAGTCTAGAAAAGCAATATGGTATTTCAAACACATACTTATTAAGAAAACAAATAATTGCATTCATGGCCATTAAAATAGTAGCCAATGGCTGCTATCTGTAATTATTCAAAGTCTGATAAGTACAACAAAGGAAAATGATGACGCAATCAGTTGGATGGGTAGCACTTTTACTGTCTCCCTTCCAATCCTTCTGGAGCCATTTACATGTTATCCCCACACTGGCAGTCTAGCACCAGGAGCTGGTAAATGCTCAGAGTGGTACAGAAGTGTTAGAATGTTGGACACATCAGCAGGTTGTCATGAGAAGACTTGGGAGAGTATATATTAGTTCCATGGCCTAGAGAAGATGAGATGAGACAACTATCCAGAAAGCAATTTCATTTTTCATAAAAACCCTCACAGGTGTTCTTTTAACAGGCTTATGAGACTAAAGGCACAGTATACCCATCAAGAGTGCACCACATAAATGTGAGTAACATTTACAAGAATTAACTAAATAAGATATAGTAAATGTTAAGAAAGGAACTGAATTTGAATGAGATAACAGATAATAAAAGGAGGAGAAATTATTTAATGACTGACAGGAGGTAAATTCCAAGGGAATGTTGCAAATTGTTTTGTTTAATCATGAATTGTATGAAATTTAAGATTTTGCAAGGCAAAACTGAAAGAATGCACCTTTTACATCATTTCTCACTAATTACATAAATGTTTGATTACCAATTTGAGAAATACTGATTTTGGTTAGCATGGATGTTACAACTGGATAAACTATCTTTGCAAAACCCACAAAACCTTCTATCCCTCTCTCATTTGAGATTCCGAATCTTTCAGGGGAAGGAGAGTTAAAGCATGAACTGCATGTAAATATACTGAATTAAGAAGTCTAGGGAAAAAACTATGTGATAGAAAACTTGAATTTTTTTTATCACTGAACCATGATCAGTGATATGAAGTTGAGCGTATTTGAGATATGTTGGTAAAAGGTGGTCAAGATTTGGTGTTTAAATCTGTTCTTAGCTACAAGTGTTACAATCTTATGTGTAGACATTTTGTAAGAATCCATTTATCTGGAGTAGTTATAAAAAAAGCATGCACTTACTGTGTGCTGAATGAACTATCTTAATCTTTCACGACAACCTTTTTTTTTTAAGATTTTATTTATTGATTTGAGAGAGAGAGAGAGAGAGAGACAGAGGGAGGGAGGGGGCGCGCACACAAGCAGGGGGAGCGGCAGAGGGAGGAGAAGCAGGCTCCCCGCTGAGCAGGGGGCTCCGACTCAGGGCTCCATCCCAGGACCCTGGGATCATGACCTGAGCCGAAGGCAGACGCTAACCAACTGAGCCACCCAGGTACGCCTGGGATTTCAACCCAGCTCTGCTGGGTTTCACAGCTTGGACTCTAAAACCTCTACGCTATGCTAACAAGTCAAATCATAGGTGAGACTGACCACATACAGTCTGAATTGATTCTAGTAGTTTTGTTAATTGAACAATGGAAGAGCATCAAAGGTCATAAAAGATCAGTGTTTTGTAATTCAGTACAACAACAACATAACTGGCACATAAGGAGACTTTGTAGAGACTCCCAGAGACTGTTTGGTGTAGTCTATTTTACCACTCCATTAATGAAGGAACAGAGCCTAGTAAAGTTAAGAACTTTCTCAAATAATATGGTTTGTTAGAACCCAGCTCTCTTTACATTTCTCTGCAGAGAAAGCAATACATGCAATCCTCAGTTATCACATGAATTTTTGCATTTCCAAAGGCAAAAACGTGAACACTCAAACTCTGTTGTAGAGAGTATTTCTTGAAGTAAGTTAAAATGGGAATGAGGAATCTTTTACTTGTACATAATGCCATTTTAAAATATCTTAACCAGAGTAATTTTTCAATTGAACTTATTCTATAAGTGTGATTATTTTAAAATTTTAATTTGAAAATCATAGTAGTATAATAATTAGCTACTTAAGCTAATCAAGCTACTTAATTATATTACAGAATTAGAAATTATATAAAGAAATGGGGAGGGAAGCAATTTTACCTTACTAAATTTTGCTGCATATATTCAACCTTCATTAAAATTTGGACCCCAGTTTGAGAGCGAATGTAGGCTTTCAACCTGAAATAAAAATGTCATATTGAAGGAAGCAAAACTGATTTTTAATATATTTCAAGATAGTATCTATGGAAGACCAAACATTTATGAGTAGCTAATAATACTTAAAATTCAACTATCCAAGCATAGAAAAGAGGTTAAAGATATTTTCTAACCAAGGATTTGAATTTTAAAAAATTACCTTTCTTCTCTGTAAAATATCTTGAATTAAAAAATATCTATTTCAGTTAAATTAAGTTAAACTTGATATTTTATTTATTTTAAATAAATGTATACAATTTAGTGACAGGTACTTTGTCTTACTGCCAAACACATGACCAATGGTAACAACTGGATTATCAGTAATAAGAAGGAATAATAAGAAGGAACCACTATACGTGTGCCAAAGACACTACTTGATATGGGGCATGGATCTGGTTCAGTCTGGGCAACCTTTTTATTAGAAGTAGAAGATGAAATTTAACTAGAATTGGATCAGACATTTTAGAATCCACCCAGTCTAAAATTTAAACACCAGGTTACTCTGGAACCAAACCAAGCATTCATATCCCAAGCAGGTACCATCTGGAGAAAACAAAGTCAAAGGGGTTCCTGCTCAGGAAAACTAATTCACACTCTAATAATAGTTTCCCTTTTTGGGGAAACTGCCTACTGTGTGCTAGGCCCTGTACTAGAAACTTTATATATGCTTTTTTTTTTTTTTTTGAAGCTTCAAATAACCTTAGCTAGTGGACATTATCATTCTCATTTTACTGATGAAAAAATTAAGGTCCAGAAGTTAAGTAACTTACGCCTTGATCACACAGCTAAAAAGGGACAGAGTGAGCTATTCTAGCCCAGATATTCATAACTGAATCTTTCTACTACTCTAGGTTAACCATTTTTGTTAATGCTATATTTCTGGACAGGAGGCAGAGTGTATCTTAATTAGTTTTATGAAGACTTGGCTGAAACAGAATTCCCTGTCTTTAACAGTTACTTGGAAACTCTTAATTTTCAATGTTTTTGATTCAACTTTAAAGAAGTTTGATTTGAGAGCTAACAGTGCAGACTCGGATTCCAGACTGCCTGGGTTTAAATCCCAGCTTCCCTGCTTATTTGCTATATGAATCATTTAGCCACTTTAAGGCTTAATTTCTCCATCTGCAAAATGGGTATAATAGCAATAATCTACCTTAAAGGGTTACTGTGAAGATTAAATTAATTAACACATATTTATTATCTCTTTCAATGAGGATCTGGAAAACAGTAAATACTAAGTATTACACACTGTTTTTATCGCTATCTAAAAGCATCACCCATGACTGACAAAGCTTTGGGGAAACACCAAGGAAATGGCACAGAAAGTAAACTGCACTGACATACCACATTCTAACAAAGTCATAGCTTTACATAATAAATAAACACATAACCAGTACCTCAACATTTTTAATAATGTCAGAAAATTACAAGATTTTTGAACCATACCTTTGACGAATTACAGGATCGGACTTTTCAGGATCAATGTAAGGTCTTAGGATTTCATTAATAGTTTTATCATCTGGTACTCTTCCCAACAACAACAACAACAAAAAAAGACAAAACTTACATTATAAGTTTCTACTAATGGTGTTAACTTGAAATTACTAAATCTTGTGGCTTTTTTGTTTAAATGACTGAACACAGACCTTTTATTTTACTCTTGGCAAAATATAACATCCTTTTAAACAAAAATTACTTAGGAAAAAAGCTCAAAAAGACTTCTTGGACACACTTAAAAAGTCCTAAAAAGCAATATTTTGAGAAGCTCCCTATAAATCAATTATAAAAATATGAAGCCTCTTTTAACACAACACCTGTGCTCACAGATGAGAAGAACTCAGAGTGAAATATATTTGAAAGTTGCAGAAATATAAAGTCTGAAAAAAGGTTGCAGATGATGCTAATTTCAGTGCATGTTCAAGTTTATTCATTCTAAATCATAAGACCAGGGTAAAAAACTGATACTACTTTCCCCGGAAATAAAGGATTTCAGGTTTTTCAACTTTCCGGTAAATACGCACATTGTTTAGAACTATAAATCTGTAAAAACAAAATTAAGACACTGCTTTGAATGAGTAACTTTCCTCAATCAATTATACATATTCATATATACTACTGTGCTATATATCCCTACCCATAAAATTTAAGTCCTTTCTGTGACTTTAGTCTGGTATACAACTTCAAAGATAACAACTTAGTTATCCATTCTACTCCTGACATACATTTAATGATATCACATTTAAGTTAACAGTTTATTGTAAATACAAAAATACAATAAGAACAAAGAAGTTCTTAATAGTGGTAATACTATACCTTTTTTCTATGTACACAGCTTGACTCTGAGGAAATTGGAGCTTCACATGCCAACAAAACTGTTGTTTTCTAAATTAGAAGATAATCTTATAAGGATTAAGGTAGACAATAAAAGTTTGAGCATAGATCAAACCTCTTGAATTTTTGTTTTCAGATACTAATTCAAAAAGTATTCCTTGAATTTAATGATTTAATGTATCTTTTCTATTTTCTCTTTTCTAAGATTTCAGAGGCTGTGTTTTTTAAACAACATACCTGTAAGGATTTTTAAGAGGAAAACAAAATTAAGTGCAGCAGTTATGAATTACAAGGACTTTACATTCCTGAATTAGAAGGCAATTTCTCACAATTCAGGGGCTTTCGAGATCAGTGTGCTACTACTTGAAGTTTACAAACAAATCTGCTCATCTCTAAAAACAATGAGCTGATGTCTTTGCCTAACTAGTCTGGAAATTAGGTGAATGAAGTGTTGTCTGGTTGCGACCAGCTGGCTGCAGACACACTTCTGAGCCATGAGTACGTGCATTCAGTAGCAAAACAGTGGACAACAAGTTGGTTGCTAAGCAGAACGCACTCTGAGCTAGAGTCCTTTTGCTTTCAGGTCTAAACTTTTTGATACAGGATCAACAGTAATAATTCACTAAATGTCTAATTTTAGCATAATGACCACATGTTCTATTTAAGATACCTAAATTTGGTGACACTATATGCCATTCTTTCTTTAAAAAAAATCTAATGCTGAATTACTGAATCCAACAGAGAAATTTAGTATTTCCAATGCAAAATACTGAATCCAACAGAGAAATTTAAATGTTTTCACTATATGATGGTTTTACATGTTTTCCTTACTTAGAAGAAATTTCTAACAACCCACTGGCAAGTTAATGGACAACAGCATGTCCAAGCAAATGACCAGCATCACTAGAAATCTATCCCTTAGCAGCATGGCTCCAAAATCTCAAATAATTTTCTTTTAATACAATCTAAGTATCTCTCACTAAACATTTATATGATTTAGTCAACTTTTTGTCAGAAGATAATAACCATAAAAGCAAGTAAAAATCCTTCTGTTATGGCAAGTCTATCACAGATCTGCTTATGGAAGTTTTCTTTAATAACAAGACAGTTTTTGGCTTTAGCTAGAAAAAAATATGCTTATTATGCTTATGTTGAAAGTGCCATTTACCATATAAGAAACAATCATGTTAAATTTAGTATTTGTTTTTTTGATAGAACAAAGGCATAAAGCACCCTTTACTAATTTAAAGACCAGATGTCTAAAATCTCAGAGGAAAAAACTCTAAAAAAAAAATCTAAATGCAAATATAACAGTTCCTGGTTTTAAATAAACAATTCTTCCAAAACAAAACACTCTGCAATGTTCGTAATCTGCCAAACAGGTATCACATCATATCACTATCAAGAGGCTCAGAGATTCCACATTTCTTTTTTTTCTAAAGATTTTATTTATTTATTTATTCATTTGAGAGAGCGAGCGAGCGAGCACGAGTGCAAGCATGGCGGGGGGGAGGGAGGGAGAAAGAATCTCAAGCAGATTCTGTGCTGACTGGAGTATGGAGCCCATACTCCAGTCAGCACATACTCCATCTCACAACCCTGAGATCATGCCCTGAGCCGAAACCAAGTCAGATACTCAACCAACTGAGCCACCTAGGCACCCAATTCCACATTTCTTAGTAAGAAATATAAACTGATTTTTTAATCTTAATGTATTATATGGTTTCTTTCTAAATATATTTGTTTTTTCCATGTTAAGTTATAGGGGAGAAAAAAGATTATGAATTCGTCCTCTTATGGAATTGTAAATCATATTCAATTACTCCAATCATTGCTTGAGTAATTTCAAGAACCATTTATCTTTCTTAACATTCAGTAGACCCTAAATACCTTCAGAAAGTACTTAGCATTCCAAAAACAAAGGAAGAAAAGCCCTTGGAAATAATTTTATTTGCTATAGTTAACTAGTTGTGATTGTAAAGAACTCATTCACTACTGTTTTATTATATATACATTGCTAAATTAGGACTATTATAAAAATCTTTCCATATTTGGTCTCAGTTCAAACATGAACAAATTTGAAAAGTACGTTTCACTTTTAAAAAATGTGACCTTGCAATTTTTCAAAAACAAAGAAAAAGAGTATAAAGAACACTCAATGTACTCATATTCAGGATTAAACCAACTTGCATATTGCCATATTTGTTTGAAATATTTTTTTCTTCTATGGAATAAAAAGTTATTTCTACTGTTCCTTGATCAAATTCCCTTCCCATCCGTCATCAGAAGTAGCTAATTTCCTGAGGCTGGGTGTGTATTCTTGCCATCCATGGTTTTTTATTTTATGTATATATACACACACACATACCTATAAACAATATAGTATTTTGTGTAATATTAACATTTACTTCAAAGTTATCATACTCTACCTAAATATCCTATGCCTTGCTTTTCATTTACATTATGCTTTAGATTTATAATACATACAGATTAGTTCATTAATTTAAACGGTCGTACAGTATTTCATTTTGTGAAAAATTCCAAAATCTATTTATCCATTCTCTACTGATTGACATTATGACCGCTTCCAATTTTCTATCATTTGTTCTTCCATATTAAATTACAGTATAGAAAAAATAAAAGACACTCCCTAGGGATGGGTCTATCATTTCCCTCTACTGGTACACAAAATTATGTTAGCTTCATTGAAAAACTGCCTGTACCTTTCAACTCTGTAGTAGTGTAAAAGCATTTGCAAACAGTAATTCAGAGCAGAGGATTGAAGTGAAAGAATGGACACAGAGAGGTTGAAGGGTACTGTATAAAGAATTCCTGAAATGGCTGAGTTAATTTATCTCTGAAGTAGTTGCCAATTATTTAGTGTTCCTGAAACTGATGTAGTCCTGCCATGGGCAATCAAATCTCTTCTAAGTCTCAAAGAATTAGGTTTTTTTATTACGTAATTTTAACTCCAGTGTAGTTAACATACAGTGTCCCATCAGTGCTCCTCACGATAGGCACTAGCATCTATTTCACACCCCCGCCCCCACCTCCCCGCTCTGGTAACCAGCAATTTGTTCTTCAAAGAATTAAGTTCGTTCCCCACTTTTCATAATTATATATAGCAATATATGCCCCAATTACAAAAATACACATACACCAAAATCCCAATAACATTATTTGTGAGGGGGATTGTGAGTAATTTTATGTTTTTTTATTAGTGAATTTTCTAAAAGAACATTGCAAAGGGAAAAGTAACACTTTGGCGAGTATCTTTATGCACACACACGTTTTTGTATTTTAGACTGTTTCGTAAAGACAGATTCCAAGGAGTAGAATCACTGGGCTAGAACAGGGTTTCATAACCTAGGCAGTGCTGACATTTTGGACCACATACTTCTTGGTTATGGCGGCGGGGTAGGGGGGAAAGGGGTGGTGGTGGTGGGAAGACAGGGGAGACAATTTCCCCTGCAGGATGTTTAACAGCATCCCTCGAGATGCCACTAGCAACACACACTCTTCCAGCTGTGACAGCCAAAGATGCCCCCAATTACTGCAGATGTCCTCCGGGAGGCAGAATCACCACTTAATGAGAATCAACGGGATAGAGGTTAAAACATTTACTATTACTCCTACTACATTAAGACTACTATTCCCTAAATTCAACAAAATGCCTTCAACTATAGTAATGTCACTGTGTCCTTGCCATAATTACCAATGTTTTCACGAATGGAAATACTATACCCTAATATTCTAGGTAACTTAGGTACCTCAAGGCACTATGTCTAGAATTTGATAGCAGACTAGTTTAGAAAACGGTGGGAATTGTTAAACCTAATGTCCCCTTCTGGACCACCTGACAAAGTAAGAGAACGGTGACCTCTCTCTGAGTCCCATGAAACTAAAAAACTACTCATGCATAGCAAAGCTTTTTCTCCTATCCCCTCAATCATGCATTTTTTTTTTTTAAGATTTTATTTATTTATTTGAGAGAGAGAGAATGAGAGCACGAGAGGGAAGAGGGTCAGAGGGAGAAACAAGACTCCCTGCCGAGGAGGGAGCCCGATGTGGGACTCGATCCCGGGACTCCAGGATCATGACCTGAGCCGAAGGCAGTCGCTTAACCAACTGAGCCACCCAGGCGCCCAATCATGCATTTTTAATTGCGGGCAGCATCACCCCAAAGGGGGTAAAGTTTGTTCTTGAAAGGGCTAAAAAAAATCTTAAATACCATGGTGTGTGGGCTTCCAAAGGGCCACTGTATACAAACAAATAAGACAAATAAGTACACAGTGTATCTATGGTATCAAATATCATGGAGGAGCAATTAAAGGGAAAATGTCGAAAAGGGCTCCTTGGGAGGCAAAATAAATAATAATAAACAAGATTGAGAAACACTTATATGTATTAAAAGAGGAAAATAAGTATTATTTTACACTTGGTTTTAATAAGGTAATACAAGGCACTTACCTAACAGCTAATGCTTATTAGAAACTGTTAAGGGTCATTCTCTCCCACAGTTTCAAGAAAATAGTATGTGTATGATGACACAAATTTACAGGGGATGGAAGTTCTATACCCACGCCTGTAATTATTCTTCTGACTCCATGACTTAAAACTGCTAATTTTCATATCTGGAATCCTACCATAATTCCAAGGAAAAAGGGCAGAAAACAAAGGCATCAGATCCTTTTAAAGTGGCACTGATCTCTTGATACAATAATATTTTCAAGCTCATTTATAACCAAAGAAATATAAATAGAAATACTTTTACCTGTCAGATTCATAAAGATGTTGTTAAAATTAGAAATACTAGAGAAGTATGGTGAAATGGACACTTTCCATTGTTGACAGGAACATAAATTGGTATAAGCTTCTGGCAGTTCAATTTCAAAAAAGCTATAAATAAATATTCATAATGAAAAAAATACACGTATTTTTGCCTCAAGAGTTTTATTCCCAGGAATTTATTCCAAGGAAATAATTGGACAAGTAATGACATATGCTCATGTCCAGTGTCACTCTAGAAAAAAATAAAAACAACCTGATTG